AGAGACACCAGTGGTATGAAGGCCTGACCGTTGACCAGCAGATCTGTAACTTGTAGGTAGGACACCACACAGAGTGATTACTTGGAGAGGGCACTACCGAGGAGACAGACAGTACACTTCTCTTCCTGGTACTGCCCTGAAGCCCCTGTCAGTGTGGTAAAGCCACACTGTTTCTGTTGTCCTTGATGCCACTGCATTGTGTTTGTTCTACAGAACAACGGGGAGATGAACCCTGCACATAGCGCTTGAACTGTCTTGATTGTTCACCTGTGAAGTATGTCCAGAAGTTTTAGGGACAAAAATCCTCATTAAATACATCCAGTGGTTCATGTGCCTTTGGGGGTGCTACCTCAGCCTCAAGACGTTGAGCCGTAAGGATCCGGGGGGACGTTGTGCAGCTAGAATCTAATCATACATTGGCTCTTAGGTGACAAATCCTGAGGGGGCTAATAATGAGATTGCTCTGTCTTGGGGATATTCATTAACAAGATCATCATCTGTAATGAGATTATCCTGTCACCAGATAAAGTCATGCTCAGTTCATGCTGTGATGAGAAAGTCCTCAAAAGTAATTAACTATGGAGGTGCAACAGGGGTAACTGCGGTGTGACAGAGGCATGAACAAAGGTCTGGGTTCAGACAAAGCCCTATGCTTTTTGTGGCCTGCAATGCTCAGTTTTAAGAAGGGACTGGTGGAAGCAGTTCTCCAAAGGCTGTGGAGTAACACTGCTCATGTCATTTTAAGCAATTGCTCAGAATCATTTTCAGAAAGAAATGCCTGTAAGTAGTATGAGACAGTAATCACTCATTAACTGTTTTTCATTTGGCCTCATACCTTTGATGTCAGAGGGAACAGGACAGAAGACATAAAGATTAAGAGACATACTGATTATAACAGTTAATGTATGAAGAAAGTAATACACAGTTACATCATAGGAGTTCCTCACCGTTGATCTCTATAGCTCTAACATTCACATAACGTAGCCAAAGAATGACAAGAGAAAGTACTTTTCTTATTTCCTAGGGAATAAGGAAGTCAGGACGAATAAGCTTCCAGATGGTTTAACTTAAGATCATTGTATCATATTCAGGTTTTCCCTCTAAATCTAATTTTTGTCAGACACTCTTGGCTATATAAAAACTTCCCCAACAGTTTCCTCAGCTGCTTCTAAGACTGAGCAAAGACATTCCTATGCCATCCACTACTAGACTCTCATGAAACACAATGGAATGAAAAACAGCGTACTTTTAATTCTTGTCAAGCCTCAGAATCTGGTTAGGCTTGGAATAACAAGACAGATATTTGACTCATAGATTAAAATCATTTGACTTACTATGTAGCTAAGTAGCTGCCACATGTATGGTTCATGCGTAGCTTCCATAACATGTTTTAATGATTGCCAAATGGACAAAACAGGATTAAGACAATGAAAAACAATCTGCAGCTTTTCTGAATAATTACAGTACATCTCACTCATTTAATCAGTCTTGCAAAAAAATTCCCAGTGTAGAAGTGTAGAAATTCATGTTCAGGGACCATTTCTTAGTTTGTATAGAAAAAAAATTATGTCAAGCCTAAGAATTCTAAAATATGTGTTAATGATTTTTGGATGAGATATTAAATCTTATAGTGCAGGATTTCAGTGAAATCTCTGATTACTATGATTTAAGAGGTTTCTTACACCTTGCTTTGAAACATCTGGTACTGGATATAATAACAGACACCATAATAAACTAAGTAGCCCCATGACCTCTTTATCTCCTGCATAGATTGTTCCAATTACATGTAAAAGTGATCTTCCTGTGGCTTTTCTTTCTGCTGTCTACAATAGTCTCGTTCATTTTTTTAATTCTATCTTGTTTATCCAACAAATCTTGGGTGAAATTGTATATTCTCAGAGACTACACATGATATATCTGTGCAAGTATCTGTCCTACAGTCCTTGTATGTCTGTGGCTTTCAAGCTTCTTCAAAGTTGTATTTTGATAATCTGAAGATCTCTATACAATGCAAACCTGATGCTCCACAATATTTTTAGGTTTACAATCTTTCTAAGGTTTATGGTTTTATTCTTAACAATTAAAAGATATTTGGCTTTTTTATTGGGACTTAGGTAATTCTAAATCTACTCTGCTTTGTTTTCTGGGAAATAAGTTGTTCTGATGCAGCCAAATCTGTCTTGTCTCTTCTCTCAACCATCTAGCCACATTTTTATTGGAGAAAGTAAGTCAGAAAGCCAGTACACCAAATAGCAGCATTTTGATCAAAAGCTGGATATGGCCAATAATTCAAAAAAGTTTATTTACTTGCAGTATTCTAGTGGGACAGATATTTAAGACAAATCTCACTAAGACTTCAATTGTTTCATTGCTGATTGTTAGTAAAAAAAAATCTAGCTCAATTATTTTATCTAGGATGGCTTGATTAAAGTTTGTTTACTTTTTTTGGACAGCCTTTGAAAGGTTACAATAAATTATT